CTTGGGTCTATTAATTTCGGTAGATCTACTCTGATTGAAATTTAGTGGAATACACCCCTTCATACATGTGTGAGGAACCTTTGACCCTCCATAGAATCATAGACCAATAGACACACACCCCCGAGTCATCTAAGAGACATGGGTGGTGCTGTGGTCCAAACCACTGAGCCTAGGGCTTGCCGATCGGAAGGTTGGTGGTTCGAACCCCCACGACAACGGGGTGAGCTCCTGTTGCTCGGTCCCACTTCCTGCCAACCTAGCAGTTTGAAAGCATATCAAAGTGCAAATAGATAAATAGGTACCGCTCCGGCGGGAAGGTAAACGGTGTTTCTGTGCGCTGCTCTAGTTTCGCCAGAAGCGGCTTAGTCATGCTGGCCACATGACCCGGAAAAACTGTCTGTGGACAAACATCGGCTCCCTCTGCCAGTAAAGCGAGATGAACGCTGCAACTGCAGAGTCGTTCGCGACTGGACTTAACGATTGGGGTCCTTTACCTTTACATTTTTAAAGTCATCTAGTCTAAGGTTACCAGATGTCCCCGTTTCCCAGGGACAGTCCCCGGATTTACAAATCAGCCCCCTGACAAAATCCATCTATTTAATAGGAAGTGAATCCCTGGATTCACTGAAAAAAATCTGGTAACCTTAATCTTGTCCAACCCCCTGCAATGAAGGCATCTCAGCTTAAAGCATCCATGAGAGATACCACCCCCACACAACTCTCCTTTAAAACTCCTAGTGATGGAGAATCCAGAACTTCCCAAGGGAGTCTGTCCCACTGTCAAACAGTTCTTAATGTCAGAAAATTATTCCTGATGCTTAGTTGGAATTTTCTTTCTTGTAACTTAAAGCCATTGGTTCGAGTCCTATGGTCTGTAGCAGGGGCAAGCAAGCTTGCTCTATCTTCCATGTGACAGTCCTTAAGATATGGTACAATTCCCATCATCCCTGGCCATTGGCCATGCTTTCTCTCTCTCTCTCTCTCTCTCTCTCCACACTGTATATATGTAATATTTATGAATTATGTGCATCTGTGCAAAAGGCTTTTAAGTCCAAAGGGCTCACCACTAGAGATGCCTACCCACCATACATTTAAGGCACAATTCAAGCGCATGCCTTCTCCAAAGCAATTCAGAAAACTGTAAGTTATCCCTCACAGAGCCACAGTTCCCAGCACTCTCCAACGACTACAGTTTGGAGGATTCTTTGAGAGAAATTATGTGCTTTAAATGTGTGGTTTGCATGCAGCCTATGATCAGTGTTAAATGATACAGAGAGAAGAAAAGGTGGTAGGTTCAAGATCTGAAGGGAACATAATCTCCTTAAATATATAGATTTAATAAAGCATGGGGTGGAGAACTCAGAAATGAGAGGAAGCTTCAATCAGGAAAATCCCCATGGTGTGAATGCTCTCAAATAACACTGGGGAACAAAAAATTTTGTTGCATTGACACCTGCAGTTGTTCTAACCTAACTTGATGTGCTGATTTCATATCTGAAGTTGATTTTGTTCTGTAAGCTCTAGGGTTTTTTGTAGTTCATGTGTTTCACTTTTCACCATAATCTTTGTTTTTCACAATGCAAGAATCCAATATTTTATTAAACACATAGCCAAGGTAGTATAATATGAGTATAAATGTAAGTGACTTATATAGCATTGAACATTACATGTATAGCATTGAAAATGATGTGCATATCTATGTACAGTTGAAGGTATGCAAAAAAATGTGTTCCCTTGGAATGCATAGTATACACATTACACATTTTTGAAGAAGCCATGGTCCAATCTGAAAAATACAAATATTTAGGTTACAAAACTATAAAAATTAAGAAAAATTAAGTTTGCAAAACAATAATTACCATGTGGTTAGGGTAGATCAACGTGTCAGTGTCCACTTATCCCCAGTGTAAATATGACATATCGGCAAAAGTCAGAAATTGAAAGATAACTATAGCGGAAACTAACAGAAATCAATTTCAGATTTGAATTCAGCATTCAAAGAACATATAAGAACAGTTGAAAAATCTCATGCAACAGAAAATGAAAAAAAAAAATTGTCCCCCAGTGATAACTCCAGTATATAATTATCTGAGAATTAATCAACAAGTAAGAGACATAATCAGAGAAAACACTGATGCATAAAAATGATCACCTGCTGCCAAGGCTGGATGACGTACTGCTCAAATATAATGCTGACCAATTGACATATCCATGATTAAATGGTGACAAGACTTGGGAAGGAAATCCCCCTGGGGTGTCAACAGCAGTATGCAGCCCCCTTACCCTGAATGTGGATCCGGCCCTCTGTTGGGTGTGGTGTGAGACTGGGCACCCCCATCCCTAACAAGGAAGGAGGCACCTCCATGCTGCTGGTAACCACCTTCTGCCTCTCAGCAAGAGGCCAGAGGTAGCCACTATATGGGGTACCATCCATTCAGCACCAAGGCCACAACCTCTGGCCTAAGAAGAACCCTAGATGTAAGATTTGGTGGGATACAGAGGGAGGATGGCAGACCTACTGGTGATTCCCAATGTCTAAAGGTTAAAAAAATAGGTAAAGGACCTCTGGGCTGTTAAGTCCAGTCAAAGGCATCTATGGAGTTGTGGTGCTCATCTCTCTTTCAGGCCAAGGAAGCCGGCATTTCTCCACAGGTCATGTGGCCAGCATGACTAAACCACTTCTGCCACAACGGAACACTGTGACGGAAGCCAGAGTGCATGGAAACGCTGTTTACCTTCCTGCTGCAGCGCTACCTATTTATCTACTTGCACTGGTGTGCTTTCGAGCTGCTAGGTTGGCAGGAGCTAGGACAGAGCAACGGGAGCTCACCCCGTCGCAGAGATTCAAACCACTGACCTTCTGATTGGCAAACCCAAGAAGCTCAGTGGTTTAGACCACAGTGCCACCCACGCCCCCCCCCAATGTCCATGACAAGGTGAGTGACCATGTGTTTGGCCTTGTGGGGTCTGCTGGAGAATCCAGCGATTTGCCTCACTTTCCCCCTCCCCATCGCCAAGTTTTAATTCAGTTACTTTTCCTTTCACTCTCATCCTTTGCTCTGGGCTGCTGGTTTCCTAGTGAAGATAAAAAGGACTTTTCCATAGCATCTTCCTTACTCAAAAGCATTAGGGGAACTCCAACTTTAGCTAATAGGCATTCACTTGACACCCCCCCCCCAATGCATTACATGATCCCCAATGATGTGCTCTATTGGGAGCTGGCTTCAGACACCTGGCCCATTGACAGGCCAACTCTTCATTACAAAGATGTCTGCAAACATGACACGAAGGCTGGCAACGTCAAACCCGCCATGTGAGAGCCAGTGTGGTGTAGTGGTTAAGAGCGGTAGACTCATAATCTGGGGAACCGGGTTCACGTCTCCGTTCCTCCACATGCAGCTGCTGGGTGACCTTGGGCTAGTCACACTTCTCTGAAGTCTCTCAGCCCCACTCACCTCACAGAGTGTTTGTTGTGGGGGAGGAAGGGAAAGGAGAATGTTAGCCACTTTGAGACTCCTTTGGGTAGTGATAAAATGGGATATCAAATCCAAACTCCTCCTCCTCCTCCTCCTCTTCTTCTTCTTCTTCTTCTTCTTCTTCTCTGCAGATGACCTCAGTACCTGGAGACAAATAGCCAGGTTGTGCATCCACAGCAGTGACCAGAGGAAGAATGACCACTTGGAGGAGCACAGAGAGAAGAAACGCATCTGCAGCAGCATCACTGGATGCCTTCATCTGCCCCAACTGCAACAGAACATGTCTCTCCTGTATTGGTCTCTACAGCCACAGCAGTCGCTGTAACTCTCCAACAGCTTGACTTCACCCACAAAGGTGAAATCTTCCTGGGACAGATGGATGGTACCAAGACTACAACAACACAATGCTTATCTTAGTCCTTTGTTTATCCCTTTTCTCCCCAATTTAAAAAGTACCCTTTCTGAAATATGTTATAGCAGCTTGGAAGCAAAGAATAGGGTTGGTGGAATGATGAGGAGCTCCAAAGTTATTGCAAGAGGTGTGTCAGCTCAAAGTAAGCATATGTGTGGGAGAGAGGATGGGATATTCCTCCTCTCACCCACCTTTCCTGCAATTTCATGACTGGGCATTTGGGGGTTCAGATCTGGGTTGGACTAGGGACACTCCAAAATGCAGGATCAGAGACACAATTGAACAGTTATAGCCCCTGTTAAAGCACAGATAAAGCCTAAAGGTAAAGGTAAAGGGACCCCTGACCATTAGGTCCAGTCGTGACCGACTCTGGGGTTGTGGCGCTCATCTCGCTTTATTGGCCGAGGAAGCCGGCGTACAGCTTCCGGGTCATGTGGCCAGCATGACTAAGCCACTTCTGGAGAACCAGAGCAGCACACGGAAACACTGTTTACCTTACCGCTGGAGTGGTACCTATTTATCTACTTGCACTTTGACGTGCTTTCGAACTGCTAGGTTGGCAGGAGCAGGGACCGAGCAACGGGAGCTCACCCTGTCGTGGGGATTCAAACCGCCGAACTTCTGATCGGCAAGTCCTAGGCTCTGTGGTTTAACCCACAGCACCACCTGTGTCCCAAGCAGATAAAGCCTACTTGGTATTAATTTCCAAGATATACCTTTCTAAAGAATCATGCATTCAAGACACCCATTAACTTTCCAAGTATAAACCGTCCCTTGGGAAAATCTTTGGAAATAAATTTCCTTAAAACTCAATGATGTTGCTGAAGCAGTCAGGAAAAAACAGCAGAACCTGGCAGAGCAGGGCAAAAACATGTTGCTGCCAGAGGTGAAGGACAAGATGACATCCACTTTTCATTCCATGTGTTAGAAATTTGGTGGTGGGATGATGTCTCCCACTGCAGTTGATCTCAGAAGGGGCACAGACATGTCATATGACATGCACACAACTCTGTCTTCAAACATCCTACCCCGCTCCCCAGCACCCACCACCTGCAGCTGTCACCTCACCCTGTCAAATGGTAGGGCTGGCCTTGCAATCTGTCAATGGCTAATGGAGGCAGAGGCCAAGGATTGAACCTGGAGCCTTCTGCATGCAAGGCAGTTGTTCTACCACTGAGCTATGGTGCTTTCTCCTAATCCCTTCCCTGGTTTTTAATTTTATATGGCTGATTTCAAGCAACTGCCTATGGTTTGGTCTTCAACATACTAAGGTGTGTAAGCAACCTTGAACCTAAATTTCTGGTTTAAAATCTTTTGATGTATTTTAACTATTGTTTGTAACTTGTTCATTTTTACTGCTTTTATTTTATAATGTGTTTCTAAATGTTGCAAGCTGTCTTGAATCCCAGCTTGGGAGAAAAGTGGGAAAACAACAACAACAACAACAACAACAACAACTCAAAACTAGCCAGCAATAACATTATTTGGAAAACCTTGTAGCCGTACCAGAAGATGGCCTGTATTGGAATTGGTTAGTGTTTAAGAGAAGGAAGTTCCCCACAGCTATAGAAACAGTTGCTAGGAATGTCTTTGAGGATAAATTTTATTAAAAGTAAATTGCTATGGCAAGACAGGATTATATTCTGCCAACAATGTACTTAACTATTATGATGAACACTGACATTGATTTGAAGTTGCATTTATTATCTGCTTTTTTTTATTATGCCTTCAGGCTTGCAATAAACCTGATTGATTGATCTAGCAAAATGTCAGCAGATGAACTGCAGAGCTGATTGACACAATCAGGTTTCCTAACAGAATGGGCATTGCAGTGCAGCCTTGCAAACGTCTGCTCAGGTATAAGTCTCACTAAGTTCAATGCGGTTTAAAAGTTAAAGGGACCCCTGACCATTAGGTCCAGTCATGGCCGACTCTGGGGTTGCGGTGCTCATCTCACTTTATTGGCCAAGGGAGCTGGCGTACAGCTTCCGGGTCATGTGGCCAGCATGACTAAGCCGCTTCTGGCGAACTAGAGCAGCACATGGAAACGTTGTTTACCTTCCCGCTGGAGCGGTACCTATTTATCTACTTGCACATCAATGTGCTTTTGAACTGCTAGGTTGGCAAGAGCAGGGACCGAGCAACGGGAGCTCACCCCGCTGCGGGGATTTGAACTGCCGACCTACTGATCGGCAAGTCCTAGGCTCTGTGGTTTAACCGACAGCGCCACCCGCATCCCATTCAATGCGGCTTACTCCACCCTAAATGGGTAGTGGATTGCAGCTTACAATTAAGTGCAAAAAGTATGTCATAGGAAAATGCAACACAATTGCAAAGGATGGGTAGAGAACCAATAGTCCTATGAGAAAGGCATGGTCTCAAAGTTCAAAAATCATGTTCCGTATAAACTTAAATCTTGGGAAGTTCAGTGACCTGCATCTGCTTAGGAGCTGGCCAAAATGCGGGGGGGGGGGGGAGTGGGTGACAAGGGCCATTTCAACAGGCAAATGCTGCCATCTACTGGACCCTCCATAATATAACTTTCCATTTCACTTGGACCTACTGGGCAGCACACAGGATCCTAGGGTCTTCTTTCTCTCCATCCAACACCCCTCCTTCTCCCCTGCACAGTATGTTATTTCAGAAGCAGCTATAAAAAGACCAATGTACTTGGCCAAGTGGGGCTAAAATTGACCTGGGAGCTCTCAGTCTTGTGCTCCCCCCCCCCTTCACCTCCTCTATTAGTAAAACTTGTGCCTTTTATTCCTTAATCTTCCCTTCTCTTTTCATCCCCCTGCTGGTCTCTTCCTCCTCTTTCTAATTTCTTTCAAATAATACTTAGGAATAAATGGGAAATGTTTTTACAGCTAGTTTCAATCCATTGAACACTTACTCTACAAGGTTATCACACACACACCCCCCAAATATTACACAGACTTGGTGAAAAAATGGAACTTACTTAAAAGTGATCCCTTGTCACTTTATTTGTATTTATGTTTTCTATATCTGAATTTACAGTGTTTACACTTGGTTTTTGCTAGGGACTGTAGTTGGGTTTTTTGGATGTTTGTGTGTGTGTGTGTGTTTAATAATAATAATAATAATAATAATAATAATAATAATAATTTATTTATACCCCACCCATCTGGCTGGGCTTCCCCAGCCACTCTGGGTGGCTTCCAACAAAATATTAAAATACAGCAATGCATCAAACATTAAAAGCTTCCCTAAACAGGGCTGCCTTCAGATGTATCCTGAAAGTCTGGTAGTTGTTGTTCCCTTTGACATCTGGTGAGAGGGCGTTCCACAGGGCAGGTGCCACTACTGAGATGACCCTCTGCCTGGTTCCCTGGAATAATTTTTACATTGAGAGAGTGGTATAAAAAGAAAGAACAAAAGGATGGGATATAAATACACCCAGCCTACCAATATTCAGATAGGGCAAGAAAATTCACAAGATCATCTCTGTTACTAGGTGGGTATCCATTCAGTGAGAAGAGGATACCTCTGGGCAAGGGTGGCTGATACCCATTAAAACCATTGAGGTGGATGCATTGAGCCCAATAATTGGTGGAGCCAGAACCAATGACAGGCCGAGTCAACAAATTTTGGTTTTCTGTTCCATCCTCCTCCCTGTTGAGTTCTACAAGGGTCAACTAAGGAGAAAGAAGTTGAAAGGCAGACAGAAATAGGTTGGTGGGGTATTGACTCATTTGCCCTAACTGAACAGCCTCCACTTTCTCTGGGGCAGCCACTTGCAGCTTCTGAAGCAGTAATTTTGTTTCCTGCAAGTAGCTAATAAATTAGGATAGAGGAATCTCCTTTATATCATATACAATTATAGTGATTTGGATCCAAACTGCGCTGCAAACAGGCTTTCTTTCCCCTTTTAGACCGAGCAGAGCACCGAACTCGATCTCAGGGTCGTGGGTTTGAGCCCCATGCTGGACAAAAGATTGTTGCAGTACAGAGGGTTGGACCAGATGGAGCTTTCCAGCTCTACAATTCTATGATTCTATGACTTTGCAGACAGGTTGGCAAGTGTGAAAAAGGGAGTGAGGAACCATCCATTTGAAGGCAGGGTTTGCGGCCAAATCCTTCCAGCAAAGAGACAACTTTAAAGGGGCTTGCTGTCTGTACCAAACAGCTGACCGTGAGCTCCACATGCCAAACCTACCTCCTGATAGTTCCTTTCTAGTCATGTATTCTTTACATGCCCCACAGTTGATATCACATATGATATCATGTGTGTGACAGGCAGATGAGGTTTGGGAGAAACAGCCTTACCAGCAAAATTAGGTCTCGTCGTTTGGCCTGCTGGCTGGAGGCTCCCCATTCCTAGCACACCTTTTCCCTCCAACTCCACTACCCACAGCCAGCATGGCTAATGGTCAGGGATGATGAGAATTGTAGTCCAAATCATCTGGAGAATGCCAGGTGGGAGATGCTGGTCAGCACTGGCTGGCAGCACCTGTCCACCATTTCAGGCAGGGATTTTCCCAGCCCTACCTGCAGATGCCAATAATGACACCTGGAACCTTCTCCATGCAAACCGAGATCTGGTTCCTCCTTTACTTCCTACAACCAAGAATGTGCTCAGAGCAAAGGTAGCAAAGCTAATCCTTCACGTTTAGAAGCTAGACTCTTCACAGTCAAAATGTTACAGACAATGTCTCTGAACTGCTTTGCTGAGGACTGCATAGAAATTGACTATTCCCACAATAAATTAGATTTTATTTTTATTTTTATTTTATTTTTTAAAAATCTCTCCTTTTCTCTTTCTTCCTCAACTGCTAGTTCCTTCCCTTTTCCATTTCCAATAACAAATCCTCACTACTCTCCTTTCTGATATTCTACCTGTCCTGGGATCTCTCTCTGTGCAACCCTATGACTTGTTCACTGCAAAAGAAGTCTGCGCTCAATAGACTCACTTCTTAGAAAGGGCATTTAGGGTTGTCTAAAATTTGCAACAATCCCCGAGGTCCCTCCAAGTGCCCCTTCAGGCTTTCTTCCTTACCCACAAGATCCCTTCCAGCTTCCACTCTAAATCCTTTCACGCACACCCTTCATTCCCCCTGCAGACCCTTCCCAGAGGCACCGCCTCCTCACTTCCCTTCCCATTTGCCTGCCAAACTTAGTATCTTCCTTCCAAAATTAGCCTCACTCTGAGAGCAATGGGGTCACATAGCTCTGTCCCGGTTGCTGCTGTTACTACCGTGAAATTTCCTGAATTTGAACTATTTCATTTGTCCCTGTCATTCATTTCCTAACTCAGTCGGTATCGGTTTTTCAAGAGAGCGTCTTCATATCTCTGGAAAGTAGGATGGAGGAAGGTTTTTCCTGCCGTCCTCAAATACCCTGCTGGGTTTGGCTTTCCTTTTGCTTGCTCCCCAAGGCTCCTTTTGGATAACAAGTTACTGATCTGGCTGCAAGTGTATCTCTCAGTGCTGGAAGTAACGCAGTTCAACCGGGGCTGCAGGATCTTCGCTGCTTTTTCTCCTACAGGTAAGACGAATGATTGTCGTTATGGAAGTGAAACTTTCTGGAACCACCAGAAGATAACTGATACGTGCTTGATGGAGTTTCCTTCTATCTTTTGATTCCTCAGGGGGGAGAAATAAGACAAAATCACTATCCTTCGTGGATGTGACGGAAGTACCCAATGCGGGACTTGATGGTACAGTACTTTGAAAAATAAAAAATAGGAACCACAAATTTTGAGATGCTAGAAGGAAGTTTTTATTCATGTCTAAGCATGGGTGTAGCCAGGGGGGTGTAGGGAGCAGCTGCCCCCCCATCAAGTAATTTTTTAAAAAAACAAACCTAAATGATTAATTGTATTGCAGATAACTTTGTTCTGGCACCTCCAAACATAAAGCCTGCCTCCTTGTCTAAGGATGGCTAACACAATTTAATCTGGAGTGAGCCCCATTGTAGTACAGATGGCTCCCCATTTACACGGGGGTACCATTACAAGCCCCTGCGCATGCGCAAAATCACGTATAATGGGGAGCACCCTGAAATGACCCACTCCAGAGCCCAAAGAGCCCCCCAAAAGCCTCCCTGACCCCGTCCGTCAGTTCTGCCAGTCCACCGAGCTGCCCTGCCTCTCCGGCTGGTGGGTGCAAACAGGAGTGACAGGGCAGCTTGCAGGTGGCAGAGGGACTCAGGAGCAGCAGCAGTTTCACCTGCGATACACCTCCAAGTGAAACCGCCACCTGGGAGCAACATGGACGGAGGAGGAGGAAGCGGCAGCATCAAATGACTCCGCTTGGTACTGCGATGCAAGCCCCCAGACTTTGCAGAGGAGCCCTGAGCTTGCGTGATGATGACGCACATGGCGAAAAGGAAGAGTACTAGATTCTGATGGGTGCTAGATCCCGATGGATCCCCTTGCCCACGCGTATTTGGCCAAGCGGAGAACCAATAAGAATAATAATTGGAGAAAAGTTCGGGCCAAAGAAAGCTCTGCTCTGGCACAGTATAGGGCCATTGTTTTGTTCAGAGGGACAAACGGAGGGAGAGAACATTAGATCCAGAATCATTGAGTCCTTTGAGTGTTAGCAGATGTTGCAGAATAAACTGGGTCAGGTCAAGGGTTGTAACATTGGGTGAGAACCAAAAGAGGACAAAGAAGAGATACAATGTTTTATCTCACTGTATGACCTCTCTCGCTCATGTGGCACTCAGCAATCTGAGCTGAGGCTCCTTGGACTGAATTCTACGTAAGTCCTAGAAAAGGCATGTTCTGGGGTTGTTCTCAGGATGGGGCCAGAGAGCAGGGATTTAAACTGGATCCTAAGCCCATCCAGCTCAGTCATGTAACTGGGCAACTCAGCATAGAATATGTTATTAAAGGCTTGTTTTCCTTCTGCCAGGCTTGGGAAGAGCAGAAGCAGCACAGCTGATAAGCAGGGTTTGAATCTGACATAACTTTATGCCAGCTGAATTTGAACCTGCTTGATTTACGACCGCTTCTAGTCCAAAGAGTTGCTCCCTAAGAAAGTAACGTCACTGAAGTGAGATCTCAGTGCTCCACAGTGATCTCTCCCGTTTCAATTGACAATGAGAACAAAAAAGAGAGATTTATAACCAACTGCAGGAAGCAGTGCGATATTTTTCAGCTTTATAACATAAACAAACTTCACTTTTTTCTCTATTTTTCCCAGTTGGTGACTCTGCAAGAAGTAGCTGAAAGAGAAGAGATTGAACATCATGGCCAATAATGGCCTGCATTCTCCAATCCCTTTGGGTGCTGAAGAGGAATATAATAGAGTACACAATGCAACCGAGCTCCCAGACTACACTGATTTTGTTGACGAAATACCATCATATGATGTAACGATTATTATTATCCTTGTCTGCATTTTCCTCATTAGTGTCCTTGGACTTTTAGGGAATGGAACTGTCATCTGGATTCTCGGATTTTGCATGAAAAGGACTGCTTTCGCAACCTATATCCTGAATTTGGCTGTTGCTGACCTTGGGGTCCTCCTAGGCTCAGTTCCTTGGAGGATAATTGTCTTCCTCGATAATTCTCATTCGCATCTTGTCAATTTCGATGTTAACTATTTAGTGATCATAAGTGCCTATTGCTTTTTCTCCACGAACCTCATCGGTCAATTTCTGCTGACAGCCATCAGCATCGACAGCTGTGTTTCTGTCGTCTTCCCCATTTGGCATCGATGTCGCCGGCCACCCAACCTGTCCATCATTGTGTGTGCCATCATATGGAGCCTTGCTTTCCTGCTCACTCTCGTACACATCCTTAATGTCATTGTAGTCTTTGGAGTAGCTTTTGCTTGGTACCAGTTGCTGGTGAGTGCTGTGTTTTGCCTCCCGCTCATGAGTGTCTCCACTCTGATCCTCTTCATCAAACTTTGCTTGAGATCACAGCAGAGGCAGCAAGGAAATGTTTTAATAGCCATCCTGATGGTGCTCCTCTTTTCCCTCTTGTTTGCTTTTCCATTTACTTTCCTTTATTTAATATTTTCTTTCCCCCATCTTACATTTCGTAATGCCCTACACGTTGGGGCCTTATGCTGCTGCCTAAACAGCAGCATTAAGCCACTGATTTATTTCCTGGTTGGGAGGAGAAAGGGGGGTCAATCTAGGGAGAGCATGAAAGTCATACTCCAGAGGCTTTTCAAGGAGGAGGAAGGCTGCAGAGAGGAGGCCAGTAATGTCCCAATCCAGACCCAGGTGTGATACGTTCAAAATAATCAGAGAGCTCCACAATTACACCTCTTGCTATGACAATCTATGTTCCCTTTAGCCCTCTTTTTTTTTTTTTCTTCTTTTTTTTTTTTGTAAACCTGCTGCTTTTCACTATTGTTTCTATATGCCTGGGGAGGAACAGAGATGAACCCTCATCTCATTTCTTCAACTGCTGATATGTAATGCTTTTAGTACTTGGTGTTTGCTTCACTTTCTGATTGCTCTTTGCTTCATTTAAAGTGATTTCCTGTGGCTATTTTTTGGTGTCATTTCAGGGGTATAGTAAAAGTCTCCTGGACTGAAGGACATTTAAAAAAAAAATCAGCTTGAAATATTTCCTTAAGAGATGTAATGGGAGGGGGGAATCATGCCACTTCAATCATCTGTAAGGAGATTCTAAATTATGTAGAAAATAGGTTCTTTTCATAGTGGATGAATACACACACACACACACACACACACTACACACACACACACACACACACACACACACACAGCTCCCAAACCTTTGAAAATACATCAGATAACTCCTTTGAAAATACTCCAACTAATAATAAAAATAATAAAAATAAAACTACTAAAAATAAAATAACTAAAAATACAGTGGTACCTCGGGTTACAGACGCTTCAGGTTACAGACGCTTCAGGTTACAGACTCAGCTAACCCAGAAATAGTACCTCAGGTTAAGAACTTTACTTCAGGATGAGAACAGAAATCGGGCAGCGGCAGCGGGAGGCCCCATTAAGTAAAGTGGTACCTCAAGTTAAGAACAGTTTCATGTTAAGAACGGACCTCCAGAATGAATTAAGTTCTTAACCTGAGGTACCACTGTAACAATATTAAAAATAATAATAAAGAGATAATAGAACATGCCAATAGCAGTATGTGTTAGGATTCACTCCCTGTGTTGCAGTCATGGGGTTGTTTTTATCACATGACGGTGTATGTTTTCATTCCACATTGTGGGAAGTGACAGAGACAGGATGTCTTTATTACTGTGTTTTCATGATGTAGGATTTTTGTCCTCTGTTCTCTCTCTTTGCTGTCTAATTCTGAGGAGGAAGGAGCTGAGTTACGATGCCCCGAGTGTATATATGTAATTAAAAGTAGTTTAGCCAAATTGCTGCGCTACTGAGTCTGAACACTGATGGCCTTTATGCTACTGATCCTGAAGTGTGCTGACGCATCTTGGTATCAGTCGCAGTGATGTTCGGACTGGAGAATGCTTGTGAATCTCCCGAACGAACGACCAGGAGGGAGAGAACATGCCAGTCAGGCATGTGTCTCTGCCAGATTCCTACTCATGTGTAGGACCTCCTGACAGTATGGATATTAAATGGTATTTTCAACAACAACAACAAATATCAATAGACCATTGTGGAGGAAGTACTATAATTGCTCGTATAGGCCTGGCACAATAGAAAAGTTTTCAGCAAGAACTTAAAAGTTGACACAGAAAGTGGCTACCAAATCTCTATCAGCAGGGTGTTCCACAGGACCAGGCTTATATTCTATTTCTTGTCAAATGAACCTCAACAACAGAGAGAATGACCAAAGATGCTCATGCAAATGGTCTGATTCCTCAAGCTGGAATATAAGTGTTCAGGTGATCCCTGAGGTATCCTAGAGCCAAGTTGTTTGGGGCTGTGTAAATCAATACAAGAAACTTGAACCTGGCTCAGGAGCAGACAGAGCAGCTGTTTTAATAATGGCATCACATGTTCTCAATGAGAAGCTCCCATCAGCAATCTGGCAGCAGCATACTGCATCTGCTGGAACTTCCAAACCAGACCCAAGAGCAGCCCCACATCAAGCACATCACAGTAATCTAGTCATGAGGTTACCAATACATGCTCTTGCAGTAGTTAGGCTATCTCTGTCCACGAATTGCCATAGCTGGAAAAGGCTCTCCTAGTCACAGAGGACACCTGAGCATCTAGTGACAAAGATGTATCCAGAAGTACTGCCAAACTTCACACTTGCTCCTTCAAAGAGAGTGCAACCCCACTCAGAACAGGGAAATTGCCAATTTCCAAAACACAGGAACCACCTACCCAAAGAGCCCCCATCTTCATAGAATTCAGCCCTCATCCAGACCACTACTGCATCCAGACACCGGTTCAAAGCTTTCACAGCCTCTCCCAATTCCTATGTTATGGAAAGGGAAAGCTGCGTGTCAGCATCATTACACTGCTGATACCTTGCTCCAAAACTCCTAATGACCGCATCCAATGGCTTCATATAGATATTAAATAGATATTAATGTTAATTGGAGTTCAAATGATAATACCGTAAGGACAATATATCATGTAAAGAAGCTTAACATATATTCGATCTGCTTCAGTATTTTAACATTTGCATGTTTTAAAGTATGATTGTGAGTTTTCTTGGTTTTTCTGTTTATTCATTTGTAAGCTGCTTTGGGGTGTTTTTTTTTCTTTTTTTACAATCAAGCAGTGTATAAATTTTATGAAATAAATGAAAAGAGTAAATGTGACACTGATGTGGCATTTGCCCATTCCTTGTGGTTGTTTGTATAAAGTAAAGGGGTAAAGAGGACCCCTGACCATTAGGTCCAGTCATGGCCGACTCTGGGGTTGCGGCGCTCGTCTCGCTTTACTGGCCGAGGGAGCCCGCGTACAGCTTCCGGGTCATGTGGCCAGCATGACTAAGCCGCTTCTGGCGAACCAGAGCAGCACACGGAAACGCTGTTTACCTTTCCGTCAGAGCGGTACCTAGTTATCTACTTGCACTTTGATGTGCTTTTGAACTGCTAGGTTGGCAGGAGCTGGGACCGAGCAACGGGAGCTCACCCCGTCGCGGGGATTCGAACCGCCAACCTTCCGTTTGACAAGTCCTAGGCTTTGTGGTTTAACCCACAGCGCCACCCACGCCCCTATGTTTGTATAAGGGGATTGAAATGGTTAATGTAGATTGACCAATATGGAAGCTCAGAGGCGGAGCCTACCTGGTTTTGAGGCTCAGCCCAGGGGTTTACCATAGAGAGATAGAGGAGTTAGGGTCAGAGAGAAGCAGAAAAAGTCGTACATGGTGGTTGTGACAGTTAGAGTGAGAGGCAGGGGGTTACCATGGAATTGCCTGCTAATGAAGGTGGGGAGGAGAAGGATGACCTGGTGGATCTGCTCCTTTCCATGAGTCACAGCAAATGACTCTGAATGCTTGCCCTCTCCACCTAGTTTGCCTAACCTACCACCCTTGGTAATCATGTCTCCTCACCAATAGACACTTCTGCCACCCAATAAAAGACTCATACGGGACAAATGCTTTTGGCCGTTAAAAGGCCAGGAAGTTGTTATCTTGCTTAGACAGCCTTGTTTAGAAATGTCTGGATGAGATCTTCATTTATTCCATTTGTCTGGTACAGATAAAGAAGTACATGAGACATGAGCTGCTTCGTCCAGAATCAATTATAAACCTAGTCTTCATGACTGTAGCCTTCTGGGACATAAATGACAATAGTCTCCTCCTCCATGGAGAACTGATAATAATCTTCATATCCTATTAATGAGCATCCTCTTGTCCTATGACGCAGAGAATCAAATTAAACCCAGACAAAGAACAGGAGGGATCGTTTTGCACCTTTGAGTGAGACTGGTAAGATTTAACATTTTATCCATGGGGCATGAGTGGGGCCACATTTTTTTTCCTTAAGTCCTTAGGACCTGCCATTCCAGTGCAAGATGCTCTGTCCTTGTTCTCTTGTACTCACCATTTCTGAAGACTGCTGATCTGCAGTTAGTCACAAGGTTGGGTGAAACATTTACAGGAGAGGCCAGAGCTGTGGTGCTTGCAGAAGGTTAATTCCCAAGCACCCCCAGGTAGGGTTGAAAAGACCACTTCTTAAAATGCTACAGAGTGGCACTGAGAATCTGTTTGACAAGTCCTGATCTTGATAGACCAATAGTCTGACTCAGTATAAGGTGACTTCCTGAGGTTTTGCCAAGGGAGAGAACATTGTATCCAGACGCAATGAAATTAATGTATTTTAATAGGCATGCAGAATAGACTGGGTCATTTCAAGTGATCCAAGTCCAGCGCAGGCAATTCACCTCTGACTGATCAGTAAAGTCTTGGGAATGTTGGTCTTATTAAGGCAATATGAAGGGAGCAGATATCCATGTTCCTAGAAGCAAACACAATGATGGGATTCCGCTTAATATATAAACATATACACTCTCTTGAATTCTTGAATTCCTTTTTCTGTTCTGTGAGTGACTAAATCCTTAGCGTGAAGCTACAGAACAATAGTTATCCCCCTGAAGAGTTCGTTTCTCCCCTTTCTAAAAGTCACTCATTGAGTCAACTCTCATAATGCCAGAAGAGCACTTTCCTTACTCTTGGTCCTTACAAGTGAAGATTAGTTACATCCCTACCCTATCATCAGAATTCTCCACACTATTTACTTGGGTTTCTTGCCAGTTGTTGGAAATTTCCCCATCACCCCAGGATTACAGGAGAGGAGAATCTGGTAGGCAAGGAGGACTGCTAAGTCTTCCCAGCATGTTGTGTATGAGTCTACATACATTGCGTATGTAGATGTAAACAGCTGTCTGGATTAGGGTCATGGCGAAAGCCAGGAAGGTGTGATGCCACCAGCTCTCAATTGCACCCAAAGTAACAGCCCAAATGCTAATGCTCAGTTGCCTTGCACTAGGAAAATGACTGGGGAATTTGGAGGGGAGAGTATTATAAATTTTCTGAATCACCACCACCAGGGGTATCTGTTCATTTGTTTATCTATCAAGTATGTTTGCTTCTTAAAGGTGCTACTACTACTTGGGTAAACCCCTGCCCCCTCCCCCACGTGCTTCCCATCCATCAAAAACAGCCTCCATGGTTTGGGGGGGGGGAGACCAATAAAGACATATCAGAAAGCTTGCTCTATTTGGGGGAGAATCCTAGGAACTGAACTACAAAAAGAAATCTGAGTTATACGTAATAAGAAAAAATGTGACAATACTGCCTGACCTCACTTTCAGAACCTCCTGCACACCCTCATTCATTTCTAGCTTCTTCTTATTGCATTGGAAGATAGCCCCACCCACCTGGATGAATGTGCAGTAGGTAAGTGAAATTCACTGCTATAAAAGTGTATATCAATCTTTCAATAAACAAGGTGGCGTCTTTCTCACTCTGTCTCAGCCCATCTCCTTCATTCTTACTGATATCTCTTCCTAAGCCAGGAATGATGAGCTTGGCCATGGCAAAAGAAATATGATTGAACCCCAATTTTGGAGAGACATTACATATCAGACGCTAAATGCCAGAAGACCAGGGAATGCAGTACTGACTTCTTCTCTTGGCACCAATCAAACCCAGTTTCCAGGTAAACTAACTCACTAAAGTCCAAAAAAACAACAACAACAAACCTCAAGGAGAAAAAATCCAGAGGCGTGTGGCCCATGTGGGGGATTCAGTTATATTGCAGAGAACTGCACATATACGATTTTTGGCTTGATAGACAGATGTTGTGGGTTAATATGTTGTTCAATGGGCTCCTGGCTCTCACAATTCTGGGTTTTGCACAGAATTCCAGCTGAGTCAAACATCTTTGTAATATTTTCCTAGAGGAAACTTGTGCTCCAGAAGAGGTGACAAGGATTCCACATGCAGTCTTTCAGCATGGAAATAAATATCAATGGGACTTTGCAATCTGCTGTGGATGCTGTGACATATAAGGAGTACAATGGCACTTATAATAGCTCATCTAATGACCAAGGAAATTTCCAATATAAGGAATACGAAAAATCTATAATATATGGCTTTATTTTAGTTATCTGCTGTGTGGGATTTTTGGGGAATGGAACTGTGATCTGGCTTCTTGGTTTCCGCATTAGGGGGAAACCGTTCACCACCTACATCCAGAATTTGGCTGTTGCTGATTTTGCATTCCTCCTGAGCCTACAGTTCTGTACTTTTTATTATGTTTCCTGATCATGTTCTTAATAGAATTGCTTTTTGTCTCTTATCCTTCACATACAACACTGGCCAACTTCTTCTGACAGCCATTAGCATTGACAGATGTTTGTCTATCCTCTTCCCTATTTGGCATCGGTGTGTCTGGCCGACCCATTTGTCCACCACTGTGTGTGCCCTCATATGGGTCCTCTTCTGTCTGCTTTGTGTAATGCTCTACATTATCAGAGACACATCTCCCCTTATATCACATAATTTCTATCTTTATATCCTCACAGCAAACTTTCAATTTCTCTTGACTGGACTGCTTTGCCTCCCACTTATGACAATTTCAACTGTGATCCTTTTCATCAAAGTCTGTTTTAAATCACACCCACGAAAGCGGGGAAGGCTTTTAACGGTTATTTTACTTACACTCCTCTTCTTCCTCATGTTTCCTTTTCCACTCAATGCCTTTCTTCTCGGTAGATTAATTTTACGCCTGAGTATTCCTGTTCGACACTATTATGCCTTTTTGTGTGCCTCCCTCAACAGCAGTGTGAACCCCTTCCTTTATTTTCTGGTTGGGAGGAAGAAGGGCGTTCGATCTAGGGAGAGCCTACTGGTCATCCTCCAGCAGGTTTTGAATGAGGAGGAGAATGACAGACAGGAAATGGATCCTCCATTTGTTCGATCCCACTTAGGAACCTTTCGTAAGAGTTCTTTGGCTGTATTTTGTCCTTGGACTGCATTGATGACTCTTTCTCACCAGAAAAAGAGGATTGGGTTTTGTTGACAATTTTGAGGTTTGTGCAGTTGAAATGTATCCCACTCTACAAAGGCAGGAGTCATGTTTCTTCTTCTCCCAATTTTTCTTCTGTGTCCCCCCCCCCCACGCATGGTATACAGCCCCTGAAATGTTGGCCATGGAGATATAAAGCCCTGCAGCTCAAAATGCTCCACACTGTGCACCTATATTGCACAAGCTGAAATAGGGAAGACAAAGATCGGGTGGAATCATCTGTACAACTTGGACTGAGAATAGAAAAATTGTAAATTTTTCTTTGGGACACAACTGAAACCGCATTCCCCCCCCCCACAAGTCCTTAGCACCTGCCATCCCAGAAGGCTGCTCTTGTCTTGTGCTCAAGAAATCTGAAGATTGCTTATCCACCCTTAGTCTCAAGGTAGTAAAACAAATACCCTTGAATGAGAGAGTTATTGGGAAGCTCCCTTGTTATTTTTGATGTTGGAGGCTACATGCTGTTTAGGTGACCTTGTTATAGTACTGACATATGGTTTATTTTATGTTATTATATATATTATATATATGAAGGGGGGGAGGTTTGTGTGCATACGGGAATAACAGCTGGTGCACAAACCACACTGTGATAGCTAGCTATTGCTCCCCAACTGTGGAATTTATGACGCTTAAATGCAGACCTATATATATCCCCCGAGAATTTACAGCAGTACTGATAACTATAGTATACATTGCACCTGATGCGAACATCAGTGAGGCAACAGGTCTTCTGCATGATGCCATTAGCAGGCAACAAGGCAAGTACCCCGAGGCTGC